TAAGCCCTAAACCCTGAAAGGTTTCACAGCGCTTATGAGCCCTTCAAGAGGTAGGTGTATTGGGGTTAGGGTAGGATTTGCGGCTCGCGGATTGTGGGTTGTAGTGTTCAGGGAATTTTGATGTCCGGTGTGCCAAGCTTGTCATGCAGAGGTGTTGTGGATCTGTGTACAAGAATTTGGGGGCACTTCATTTCGGGACTAAGAAGCCCTCCCATTCGATGCAAAGCCGGTCGATCCGGATGAGCAAGAAACCTAAACCCTAAACCCTAAAATCCTAAATCCTAAACCCTAAACCCTAAAATCCTAAATCCTAAACCCTAAACCCTAAAATCCTAAATCCTAAACCCTAAGCCTTGAAATCCTAAATCCTAAATCCTAAACCATATAACCTAAATCCTAAATCCTAAACCCTAAACTGAACCCTAAACCCTAAACCCCAAAATCCTAGACCCAAAATCCTAAAGCCTAAACCCTCAACTCGCACTCCGGAAGAAGTGTCCCACAAGATCCCTGCTGCAAGCTATTACTATTTGGGGTGTTTTCGGGTTTGGGGCTTCAGGGCTTCAGGGCTTTAGGGGTTAGGGCTTTAGGGTTTAGGGTTTAGGGTTTAGGATCTGGGGTTTTAGGGTTTAGGATTTAGGGTTTAGGGCTTCAGGGTTTCAGGGTTTAGGGCTTTAGGGTTTCTTTTGGGGTCCCTTTTAAATCTTCTGACCGTCTTGCTTCTGTGAGCCCCACCAGAATGACCACTCGCCCTTAGAACGGGAATGGCATTTCCACGTTGTCGGAGAGACCACATCGGCATGAAGATTGCGACAAGCTGTTCGACACTTACATGTAGCAACAGGTCCCCAGGGACGCAGCACCAATTGGAGTGCCTTTGCCTACTGCTACATGCCATCCGCGAAAAAGCCCTCTGCAGACCTGGCTTCTGAATACTGGCTTTCACACGCCTAAACCCTAAAACCCTAAACCCTAAGACCCTAAGGCCTAAAACCCAAAACCCTAAACCCTAAAACCCTAAAACCCTAAACCCTAAACCCTGAAATCCTAAAGCCCTAAACCCAAAACCCTAAGACCCTGGCATTTTGATAACACCCTCACGGCCTGGCTCACAAACCTGGGCGCGACAGATTCCTGAGGTTGCCAGTGTCTTTGTGGGTTTAGAGTTTAGGGTTTTAGGGTTTAGGGTTTAGGGTTCAGGGTTTAGAGTTTAGAGTTTAGAGTTTAGGGTTTATGGCTTAGGGTGGTTTGGATCCCCCTCTGAAACTTCAGGGTTTAGGGTTTAGGGTTTAGGCCTGAAGCGTCACAAGACGTCAGGCAAAACAGTTTGGCAACTCTCACCCTAAATCCTAAACCTTAAACTCCAAACCTTAAACCCCAAACCCTAAACCCTAAACCCTAAACCCTAAATCCTAAACCTTAAACCCCAAACGCTAAAGGCTCAACCCTAAACCCTAAAGGCCCAGAGCCCTAAAACGCCGGAAAGAAATCAACCCCCCTAAACCCTACACCCTAAACCCCAAACCCTAAACCCTAAGCCCTAAATCCTAAACCCTAAATCAAGCCATCCCAGGAGTTTGTGGTGAACCATTTCTTTGGCCCGGCTAGTGGAGCCCCTTGGGTAGTTTTAGCTCAACAAAAGGGGTGCTGTTCTGTTTTGGAGACCTAAAAGGGGTCCTAATGTAGAAAACCCTAAACCCTAAACCTTAAACCCTAAACCCTAAACCCTAAACCTTAAACCCTCAACCCTAAACCCTAAACCTTAAACCCCAAACCCTCAACCCCTCAACCTGAACCCCTAAACGCTACCCGACTTGGTTTGGGGAAGCTGTAATGTCTCTTAGAGGGTCTGCAGTCTGGGGCGTTTGGGTTAGGGTTTAGGGTTTAGGGTTTAGGGTTTTAGGATTTAGAGTTCAGGGTTTGGCAGGATTTAGGTTTCATAGTGCTTACGGTTTAGGAGGGTTTGGAAGGTTTCAGGATTTAGAGGGCTCAAGGTCTAGGAGGGTTCAGGATTCAGGGCTTAGGGTTTTAGAGGGTTTAGGGTTTAGCGTCGTTTGCCCTGCTGTGCTTCCGTGGGAGGTTTGAGGATTCATTGTTTTGTCTCTCTCTCTCTGTCTACACATGCTCATACACTTTCTTATACATATGTATATACGTATGTTACATCTATATATATATATACATATATATGCACATACATACATACACATGTATACATGTGGATGATACGTGCATACTGCTTTCATCTCTTTGTTGCAGGGTTTCGAGTTTGTAAGCTTGGATGGAGGCTTTTCGGGACCCTCGGATCTAGAATGTTCGCGCCGGTTATTCATTATTTGTTTAGGGTTTAGAGTTTAGGGTTTAGGCTGTTTGTGAATGTATCGGGCTCCACTGCGGGGCTCTAAGGTTTAATGGGTTCCGGGATTTGTGGGTGTACCTGTAGCTCCAACTGCCTTCTAATTTAGACCCGCAGACAAGACACACCACAAACTCGAAACACGAAAGTCCAAAACCCCAGCTACTAAAAGCCCTAAGCTGCAGCCGCTCAAGGTTGTCACGGGTGCCTGGGCATCGCTACCAACTTGGGGCGGCTTGGAGACATCTTGAAACTCTGTCGACACTTTCCCTTCTGCAAAGTAGAGTCTGTATAGATCCCGTTTGAAGAATCAAAGAACCCTTATAGAATAGGACCGCATCTAAAGCCTAATATAGAAGCCGAAATAATTACCAATACTATTTTGGGGGCTCCTTATTCTAATTACAGTATAACTCTAATTATACCCTAAACCCTATAATCCTCTAAGGTCCCTTTTACACCATTCCAATCATCAGGCGCCGTGTCCGGTGGCATCTCCAACGCCTACGCGGCTGCCACGGAGTCCGTCAACGCCGCGGTATCTCGCCTGGAAGATCCCTAAACCCTAAACCCTAAACCCTAAATCCTAAACCCTAAACCCTAAATCCTAAACCCTAAACCCTAAATCCTAAACCCTAATCCCTAAACCCTGTGAGCCCGAACCCTAAGACCCTAAACCCTGAATCCTGTAAGCGCGAATATAGGGCATCTGGGTTCAGGGTTTAGGCTTTCGGGGTCGGAACCATTGATAATTTGTTTTCCGGAGGGTTTAGGGTTTAGGGTTTAGAGTTTGGTTCCATAGTACATGTACGGTGTGATCATACTCCCAAGCCGTTCTGATTAATGAGGCCCACGCCCCAAACCCAAAGCCCTAAACCCTCAGTCCCAAAACCGAAGCACCAAACCCTAAACCCCAAACCCTGAACCTTTGAACCGTAAACCCTAAACCCCTAAACCCTAAACCCAAACCCTGAGGCCCTAAACCACAAGCCTCAGAGCCTGAGCTCTAAACCACAAGCCTCAAGGCCTAAACCCTTCAGGGGGAGCCCGATTATAGAGGGGTTTGGGGTTAAGGGTTTCCCTTTACAGGGAACCCTGTTCCACAGCCCTATGGCACCCTTGAACAAGTCCTGAAGGATCCGTTGTTTTAGGCACCTGAATCCTTGATCTAATAACCCCATAACATTAGGATCCATAGTACAGAAGCCTTACTCATACAGACCCAAGGTTTCAGGGTTTAGGGTTTAGGGTTTGAAATCGTAGACTCAAAAGCGAAAGCCCTAAGCCTACAATGTGTAAGCCCTAGCCCCAACAGTCCCCAAACCCCAAATTTCCACCCGGCCACGCATGACTGGGTTTACGTGTTTGGAGGTTCGGGATTTCGGAGTTTCCGGTGGTTTTGGGACTTTGGGATTCAGGATTGGAGCCAAAAGGCCCACCCCAAAACCCAAAACCCCCAAACCTCCAAACCCAAAGCCCTAAGCCCTAAACCCCACCCTGGCGTTTTGTGCGACTTTTCGGCTTGTCCGTTGAGGTTGCGGGCGGAGTCCCTTGAAGCTTCGAAGCTTCGGGTGCGCGGGTCGACTAGACTTACGAGGGTTCAGGGTTTATGGTTTAGAGGTTTAGGGCTTTAGGGGTTTAGGGTTTAGGGTTTCGTGGTTTAGGTAAAGGTTTAGGGGTTAGGTTTAGGGGTTTAGGGTTTAGGGTTTAGGGTTTAGGGGCCGAGCCATCAAGCTTCAACCCTTACCGTAAACCCAGCACCAAAGACCTTCAATTCTCGTGCGACTTAAGCATGGCAAACCATGTTAGACAACAGTTATCTCGCTGGAAAATTTAGGGTTTAGGGTTTATGGTTTAGGGTTTAGGGCTGCTGTAGAACCGAACTTAAATTCAATCCCGAAGCGACATCTGCTATGAAGGTCGCCAGCGCGCCGAATACAGAGCAGGTGGTGGACAGCGTTAAGAACGCCGCCAGCGGGGCTGCAGAAAAGGCCCAAGAAATGGTGGGGAGCCCCGCCATCCACCAGGGTTTCAGGGTCTAATTCAGTTTGGGTTTAGGGTCTAGGCCTTGGTAGTTTAGGGTTTAGGGATTGGGGTTTAGCATCGTGTTTAGGATTGAGGGGTTACTTCGAATAGGGTATGGGCATATATTCTGGTATAGATACAATAGCAAACGTCAGAGAATCATGCGGGCAATTCTTCAATCTAAGGTTCAAAGTGTGGGCCCCTAATAAAGGGTACATTTAGAGTATAAAGTAGGTATACAAGGATGCCAGTCCAGACAGCGTTGCCACCATTTGTCGAGGGCGTATGTAGAGGTTGGAGGTTTAGGGTTTAGGGGTTTAGGGTTTGGCGTTTAGGGGTGTAGTGGTTTGGGTTTAGAGGTTCAGGGTTGAGGGTGTGGCTCAGGGGCGTCACTGTTGGTAAGGTTCCCAGGGTTATAATCGTGCAGGGCTGCAAGAGTTTTGGGTTGAGAGTGCTGGGACTGTCGGCTTAGGCCTGTCTCACGACCCTATGGGTTTAGGGTTTAGGGTTTAGGGTTAGGCCCCAAACCCTAAACCCCAAACCCAAAAGCCTGAACCCGAAACCCTAAACCATAATCTCTAAACCCAAAAGCCTGAACCCTAAACCCTAATCTCTAAACCCAAAAGCCTGAACCCTAAACCTTAAATCCTAAACCCGAAGCGCTCAATGCAACCATGAGCCTGAACCAGAACGGGACAACGACTCAGACTTCAATCTCTGACATTGGGAGCTAGGGTTAGAGTTGGGTTTAGGGTTTAGGGTTTAGGGTTTAGAGTTTAGGGTTTAGGGTTTAGGGTTTAGGGTTTAGGGTTTAGGGTTTTTGATTTACAATGGGGTTTAGGGATTTAGGATCAGGGGGACCCTTCGGGGATATAGACCTTCTCAATAAGGTCCCTTTTAAGAGAGCCAAAAGTAGGGTTCAGAAGGGGGTACCCTTGAAGGGGTACCCCTAATAATACTATCTAGACATCCCAGGGCATTGGGTTTATATCCACACGAGCTTGATGCTGACTGACTTGTCCAGCGAAGTAACCCTAAACCCTAAACCCTAATGTAGGGGCCTAAATGACTACCAATACCATGTTGGGGGCTCCTTATAATAACTATAGTATAAGGGGGCCCCCAAAACCCTATTGTAAACCCTAAACCCCAACCCTATTAAGGCCCCTGTATTAACGATTTGAAGATGCATACCATACTGAAGCTCCCTGAGCTTCACAGCTGGCAGAGTAGCGATGGCAATCGAGGCTCCTAACCCTAAACCCTAAACCCTAAGCCCCTAAACCCCTAAACCCCTAAACCCTAAACACTAAACCCTAACTAAATCCTAAACCCTGGCTAAAAAATTCCACACAGTTCTGGAGAAGCTGTCCCGTGGTGCCGGGGGGACGTAGTAAGTAGTTCAGGGTTTGGGGTGTAGGATTTAGGGTTTAAGGCTTAGGGGTTTAGGGTTTGGGGTGAAGGATTCAGGGTTCAGGGTTGAGGGGTTTAGGGTTTAGGGTTTAGGGACTGAACACTCTGTTTAGGGTTTCAAGGTTTCCCAGACCACTGGAAGGATCCAAAAAAGTAGATCCCCTCATTTGGGAC